AATTTTTGCCGAATAACCAAAATAAACTTTTTTTCTGCCAAATAACCCGAATTATTTGGCAGCCCGATCATAGTAATATGACGGATAATACAAAATTATTGCACGACATACTAACCAAAACTCATCCTACTCCCTAACATACAATGATATCCCTAAGCGAAACCTTATTTGCACACTACAACATTAGTTCAACCATCAACATCACAATAACTCTTCACCAAAAAACTACTAAAACATTCACTCACATTATATCTAATATGTCGCCTGTAAACAGATGTTATCTACAACCCACTCACCCGACAATGTTAATTACTTTTTTCGGATTTTTCTAAACGCCGACTAAACATAAGTACAAATTCACAACTCCGATCAAATTACATACTTTAATATTATCGAAACAGTAACATTCAAACAACAACACCGTTACCAAGAAAAACTTTATCTTATATACTCGCTTTATACAATCCTCCCTCCTTACTAACACGCGAAAAGAACTTCCAACAATAACACGACACACCAGTAAAAATACTCTAATAGACCCTCCGTCTGTATGCGATCGATAAAAAAAGACCTCATTACAAAGCCTGATAAATACAATTAACACTATCCGCGATACAAATTAGGCTAAAAAAACCTTTCGAACACGTTCACGCCTGATTCAGTCTCAATAAATTACCTCCGAACTAAAAGCAAATACTACATATTCCCTTTACTGTTAAACATATTAGCTACACTCAAATTTTAAATCCACGACGCTCAAGCTTTATTAACAAAATAACCGGTTTGAACCTCGAAAAAATCTCATTTTTATCTCATCGAGTAAAATAATTTGCTTCGCCTGATCTCGAAACCTGATTGGCCAATGCTACAAAAAAAAACTCCCAGCGCATGAGCAAGCGCACATCTTGTTGGAGTATATAATTAGATCGAGATTATGAGATTCAAAAATAATCAGATGAAAGTATTTAGTTAATATCGCGGATTACATAGTTCTCAACTACAGTTTAATATTGGCAATGCGGTTTTTTTTTTTTTAAAAAAAAAATATTGTTATAAACATTATTTTAATTTTTTTTTTTTTTTTTTTTTTTGTAACTGGGTGTTTCAAATTTACAATTCAATTACAATTCCAAGTGTCAAAGCAGGTAGATTAGTCATGTCAAAAAAAATTGTCGGTGACGTATATACAAGCCACTCAGGCTATATTTTTGTATTCGGTGTCTAAAAAAAATTCTTAAGAAATTTTTATAAAAATTTTTTGGAAACCGAATTATAAGTATAAAATTAATAGACCGAATACAGAAAAAATAGTCTGAGTGGCTTGTATATCACGTCACCGACAATTTTTTTTGACATGACTAATCTACCTTGTCAAAGCGGCTCATAAAGAAATATAGATTTATTTCTATTAAAATAAATATACGTTCTTTATTTACTATAAGCTATATGCATATTTTATTTATTTATAATATGAACTCTTTTTTTAAATAACGTTCTTAATATCGATACTCAGCTAAGCGACTTGCATATTAATCAAATAGAGCACATTTTGGAGAAGTGACGAATGTGCGTACTACAGAAGTATTAAGGGACACGTGTTATCGAAACGACTAGAACACTGATTGTCAGGGCACAGTGCTTGACGAATAAGATTTTACTTACAGGTTTTCCCTGTGCATCACTCGTATAAATAAACTCTGCCTTAGGTTTTTTAACGAATAACGTTAAAAATGATAAATGATACTCTGACTGATGCTACAATTACAATTCGAATAATTAAAAATTTTGAATATCGAACTGTTAAAAATCTGGTTTTACGAAATATCAATTTAGAAACCATGACAATTGGTGACTTAAAAAACCTAGTAATAGAAAGTATTTAGGAAATTATTTAGTTTTATTTATCTTAACGTTTTTAAATATTTAACATTTCTTTATTATTTAAGAGATAAATGCAACACCCGCATTTAAACCTTTCCGTAATGTTGATTACGGTATTTAATATTATTTAAAAATTGCATTCGATTTAATAAATGTTTAAAATATTAATTTCATTTCTCTTTTAAAAAAGATACATTGAAACTTTACACAAAGGCTCATGGATCAAAAGTAATCAATTAATAATTAATTGGTTTTTTTTATTACATGATAGTACTAACTTACTGCATTTAATAAACCTAGACTCAGAATTTAATAATAAATCTTGATAATGATGATTGGATTTTGAATAACGAGACTGCTTCATTAAGTTCCTGTAATATAGGTAAGTTATATTATACTCAAATACGATTTTAGACAGCATTTTTTTTATAAAGTCATTATTATAATGTTTATATAATTAATCCATTAGAAAATGAAACAGAATTGTCTTTTTTTAATTGTGAAGCTTACGAAACTTATAAATTACATCCTGATGTTATGAAATGGGAATGAATGAATAAATTATGTTTTCTTTACATAATCAGAAAAAAAAAACAATTTATATTCTACGCATTGAAAAATTCTTTGTTTATATACAATTTGATGCAGTTCTAAGCTAGTTTTAAATATTCTTGATGTGAATGTGTTTTCGTTCCTTCGGTGCGTTTTCGTTCCCTTCGGTGTCTTTGTAATCGTTTTCGTTATTGGAGTCGGGTAAGTTTATCGTTTTTGTTTATGATTTTTTTTTTTTTTTTGTAATTCTAACGTTCCTCTTCCAGGCGCAATTTCGTCGTTGGAGTCGTCGCTCTTGGAGTATTAGATTTGTCGCTGGAGTCGGTGTAAGTTTATCGTCTTTGAATCGTTTGGTGGTGCTTTTTGTTTTTTATGATCATTAACACTTCTCTTCGTCTAGGCCGATTTCGTCGTTGGAGTTGTAGATATTAGAACCGTCGGTGTCGTTACTTGTGTGCTGTTCGTTGGTGCTTACTTTTGTGTGGGTTAGTTTCGTTGTGCTAGATACGATTCGTGATCGTTTCGTTGTGTACGCTTTCTTTTTTTTTTTTTTTTTTAATTGCCGTTGTATGTTACGCTTTTTTTTTTTAATCAATAAAAGTTGTACATACTTGATTGGTCGATGGATCACGTGATCGATTTTGATTGGTCGATCACGGGATGCGCGACCATATAAATAAGACTATTTCTAATTGTTACAGGGGGATATTGATATCCGGGGTGCTATATCTCAAAAAATTGACTAAGAAATAGGGTCTGGCATACTAAGTAAAAATGTTCATAGCACCCTAAAACTTTGTGTAACCTAAATTTGGAATATTATATTTGCCCCTATTTTGGCGTAAAACTGCACCCTAACCCTAAATTTCAATAAAAACTGTTATATCTCAAAAAACTGACTAAGAAACAGGAACTGGTGTACTAAGTAAAAATGTTCAGAACCCCCAAAACCTTGTATAACTTAAAATTTGAACTATTATATTTGACCCCTATTTTGGCATTAAACTTTACTCTAACCCTAAATTTTTAGCATAAAACTATTTTTCATAATAAAATTGGGGGGTGGATATCAATATCCCCCGGTGTCATATTCATTTGTACTATAAATAATATTATTTTGTAAATAGAAACTTTATAACATAAATATTAATTTTTATTAAATAATTATTGTTTAAAAAAAAGTTTTAACTTAAATTTAATTTTATTAAATTTGTTTTTAAACAAAATCCAGACCCAGCCCATATTTAATTGGATAGCTCAAGCCCAATCCATGGATCCAAATAGCACAAAATGTAAACAGCTTAGTTTTAAATTAAGTTTGGATTCGTAATTTTGACATTATATGATCAGGAAAACGATGATGACATCTATAATTTTGGCCAATCAGATTAACTATAGACTATCTATGGGTTTTGGATCTGAACTCAATTATTCATGGTCAAAAATTTTGGACTAAGCCCGGCCCATATTGGACCAGTTCATAGATGCTCCATGGATAGTCCAGCCCATACAAAACCCTAATAAATATATAGACTGGTTATATACTATTTAACTATGTTATAACTGAGAATAGGGATATAACTAAAGACTAATATAAAGTGTGATATAAATCAAGTAAAATTAATATAAGAAATTTATTCTGCTAACAAATGAAGCTCAGGTTGGGATATAACCTAGTAAAAGGCCGTATTACGTACGTACATACATAAGGGTTGTGATCTAAATAGCAGAACCGATTACTTATAATTTTGGTCAAATTTGCAGATCATTTGGCCAAATTCGGAGTCCAAAAACTCTGAACTTGGCCAAGCGATCTGCGAATTTGACCAGAATTATAAATAATCGGTTCTGCAATTTAGATCACAATCAGATTTTATTACGTATAAAATTCTAACCTATATAACGAATCAAGAATGTAAAAAAAAAATTCTACATAAAAAAATGTTTTTAACTATATACAGTCAGACCTCCCTAAATGCACTCTCCCT